CTTTCCCTTGAAGGCCTCTGGAAATACAAATGTTTTCCTGTATTGGTTTTGGAGAGAACTGATTTTTATCAGGGTTGGGATCACATCCTGAGTCACTTCTGTATTCCTTAATTCCAGGTCACCTGGAGAGCAAGTCGAGTGTGAAACGTGTTCTGGCAATCACTACAGTGCTGTCTCTGGCATATTCTGTCACCCAGGTGAGTACACTGTAGCAGAAGAAATAGCCTTTGCAAAAGAGGGGACTTTGCTTGGAGTTAGGCAGTTAGGTGTGGGACTTCTGTCTGGAAAATGGCAGCTTTGCTCTTTGGATGAGGTTTTGGAGGAAAACTGGATGCTTGTGGCAATGTATGGGGATCCCCAAAGCATACACCAGGCTGTATCTCCTTGTCCTCTTTATGGCATGAAAGGCTCAGCCGAGGTGCAGAAATGAGATGAACTTTAGATGGATTGCCTTGTTTAGTGAATCTTGGAACAGGAGTGAGAGGTTTTTCATACCTGAGCCACAAGTTCTGAATCTAGCCTCAAGTGCCATGAAAACTAGATGGAGAGACCTGAGGTGTGCTTGCCAGATGAGGGCAGTGCGGTGGGCCTCTTGTCTCCTGACTCTGAGAGCTCTCACTTCCCTTTCAACTAGCAGCTGGCTTGCTAGCTCAGTTTGTTAGCTGTGTCTCCATCTCCGAACAATGCAGTATGTGTCTGGGTTTGTTCTTCTCCTCGGTATATAAGTGGTCAGCCCTGTGTCTCTGTACTTGGGGCAGCGCCAGAGTAACACACAGATCTTTCTTCTGTGACCAGATTCTTGCTTGCGGAGGCAGTTGAGCTGATCATTACCACATGATAAAGCTGGAGGAGCCTCATTAAATATCAAGTGTTAGAGCTATATCTAGCTTCAGTAGTGCTTCAAGCACTTTTCTCTCTCCACTGTCTGTACGGTAGCTTCTGTTCATACCATTTTTCAGGAATTCAAGTGAATGGGACAGTGTCCTTTCCCAACTCTTGCACAAGTGTGGGCTTTTATATTCTGGATGTTTCAGCAGG